TGAAGATTTAATTTGCATTCTTTTATCTGCGGGGCGGGGGCAGCGGGGGCTGAGCTGTGGCCGTGCCTGCAGAACCATATTGTTTTTGTTGACCCCCTTTTCCCCTTACAGGGCTAGGTTATTGTTTTTCTTTGAAATAAATATTCATGTAATTTTATTGGTATCTATCTTCATTTTTTACATTTACCAGTAGCTGCCTCATTTCCTACCCTAGGCTTATACTCGAGTCAATACTTTTTCCCAGTTTTTTGGGGTAAAATTAGGTGCCTCGGCTTATATTCGGGTTGACTTATACTCGAGTATATACGGTAGTAAGAGCCTCCTCAGCGCAGGGGGGTCCCGGAGCTGGCACTAGATGGGACTGCTCAGTCCTGGTTTGAGATGGCTCCACGAGCTACCCCCGTTGCGGCTCTGCAAAGCAGCCCTAATTGACTGATCGTGTAGTCGATACAAATTGTACAAGTTTTTCTCTTATCAGTTGCGTTTATTTATTTTGGTGGTGGAAACTTCTCTGATTCTCTCACAACTCTACATCCCAGCATTTCTTCACTGTGAATACTCTAAGTTCTGTTGGCAATGGATTTTCATTTCAATCCACTGCTGCCTGTATGTAGTTTCTGTCTAGGGTGTTACATGTGTGATCACTTGCAATAGTTTTCTATCTCCAGTAGATGGATGACTTAAGGAAGGAATTTTTGTTCTCCAACTGTTTTCTGTCAGGAAAAGCTAGTTGGAGGCTCTACATTGAATCTGATTAAGAGTTTGTCAATTCAGCTGTGTCTTGCTTTGTTGAAACCACAGTAGTGCTTTTTTTTTTTTTTTTTTTTTTAAAGTTCCATCTTAATTAGTCAAACTTTTGCTACAGGAGTTTATAGATTCAGTAACTTTTTGATTGTTTGGTTCAGCTGAACTATTTATTCTGTTATGCCTCAAGCTTAAATGATAATCATTCCCTTCCTCCAGCTGAAACACTTCACCCAAAATCTTAGCTGAACTGTAGCTGCAGCAATACTTGGTAAGTATGTACATTTACTATATAGGGTTCATTTCTAAAAGTGGAATCAGATGCACAAATGACACAAGTTGGGAATAAACTTTAAGATAATCTTATGTTGCTTTTTCTTTACTTTTGGAGACCTGTAACCTAATTACGTTTCCTGCAATTGACTCTAGTGATAGATAGGGATGTTAAATTTAGATTAACTAATTGAATTGTCGGTGGGGTTTCCATCAACTATTTGATTAGTCTATAAGGGAGCCTCCGCCTTGGGCTCCCGCACTCCCTGTGGCACCTCAGCCTTTGAAATGTACAAGAGCGCCTATGGGGCTCTTGTACATTTCAAAAGGAAGCTCCAGGAGCAAGGGATAAGTGAAGGGAAGGACTCCCCTGCTGGCCCTGTGCTCCCTGCAACTCCTGAGCCTTAAGAAATGTACAAGAGCTCCTCTGGGGCTCTTGTACATTTCAAAAGCAGAATCGCAGCAGAAGTGACACAAGTGGAGATTGCTTCAGTCCCTGCTCCTGCCATTTCCCACTGTGCCTCTACCTCCTGTGGGGATGGTGCTGGGGGGAACTGGCTAGCCACTAGCCAAAATGCTCGCCACTAGCCGCATGTGGCTATTTGACCGGTAGAGTGGCTAGTTTGTGGCTATTGCTTCAGAACTGTTTGGACACCACAGTCTTATAGCAATAAACATCACATCATATTTTAGCAGGTGGAAAACACAAATCCTGACAGAATCCTGCTTTCCCAGAATGAAATACTGAAGCTAACAAGTAGCAGCAGATAAACAGCTCTTTATTTTCTGTACATGGAAATTGATGACCATTGCTTTACAAATGACTTGTGAAGAGGGCTCTTTAGTGTAGAAAGTTTCCCGGTTTAATTACTAAACTTTTCTTCTCTTCACCTCTTATTTTTAGATCAAGGTGAACTTTTCACGTCAGTAGCACCTTCTATCCAAGGTTGTTAGCACTTTACAGACATTAATTTAGCTTTGTAACAGTCCTCTAAATGTCTGAAGTATCCTGTCTTCTGATACAGAAAAGTTATGAAATAAAACTGAGGATTCCAAACTCCTAGTTGTGTAGTTTAACCAAAGCTGCTGTTTCTTAGTTTAATTTAGAGCTCTTTAGATTCTTGTCTATATTTAAAAACATTGTTTGGCAGGTGATTGTCCTCATTTATAGTTCTATGAAAATCTTAACAGTAATATATAATGTCACTGTTTTCAGATAAGTAGCTCTATTACTATTAAGTTTTGTGAAGTATCTTTCAGTATTTGGTGACCAAAAATGTCCTGCTCTATAATTACTTAACATTATCTGTTCCCCTTTTGAGGAGCTATTTCCTGTAGGATTATAGGTCCAATAAATAACATCACTACACAGTAGCCTAGATTTTTGGAAATAACACAGATTCAAATGGCAGTACGTGGCATTCCTCTTTAGAGTATATCAGGCATGCATACTTCCTATTTAATCTCTCATACAGCTTGGCTAGAATAAAATGCATTTCAGGGATCTTGTCTAGCAGTTGTGATTATCCAATCATACCTTGGTATGTTATGTAAGCTATTTTGGGTCATCAATGTAAATCCATTCCTAATGTTCAACCTTGTGGTTTCTATTTTGCCCTTGATCTCTACTCCATTAACAACACTAATTTACCTCCTTGCTGCTCTTATCTCTCTTCTGAGGAAAGGAGAGAGAGGAGCTGTTGCAGGAATATTTGAACTCCATTTGTCAGGACCTTACTGTGCTAGATGCTGAGCAAAAATGTAGGAATACATGCTCCCTTACCCTCAGATGTTGACAATCAAAAACTGGATGTACATTAGTTAACATATTAAAGGTTGTGATGCTCAGCTACTACAGCAATGGGAGCCAGATTGATAGGTAAATGGCAAATAATGTGAGGAAGGAGGAGAGAAGATGATGCTGACAAGTTTACACAGTTGCATATAAGGGATGTTAATGAGTAACTGGTACCTGAGGAGCAGCCCCTTTCCCTGCTGTGGGGTGGCAGGGAGTGGTTCCCCTGCCCAACCTATTCAGTTACTTAACTGGTTAAACATAACGCTTAATGGGTTAATTAAATGGGGTTTTTAATCCCTATTACATATACTAGATGTGTGCACAGCTTGATGGTTCTGAATTATAACTACAGGCAGTCCCCGGGTTACATGGATCTGACTTGCATTGGATCTCTACTTACAAACGGGGTGAGGCAACCCCGCACTAGCTGCTTCCCCCCAGCAGACCAGGGAGACGCAAAGCTAGCACCCCCCTCCCCAGCAGACAAGGGAGACAGAGAGCAGCTTTTCTCAGCAGACACCTCAGCTTGAGAATAAAGGACTGAGGGAAGTGAGGTGTGGGAGAATAAAATTGAGCTCTGGAGAAATGTTTGTCTAGAGTTTCCCCTACAATATGTACCAGTTCCGACTTGCATACAAATTCAACTTAAGAACAAACCTACAGTCCCTATCTTGTACGTAACCCGGGGACTGCTTGTACTAGCATTATCCATTCCATTGTGATGGTAGACGTACACTCAGGTTGATCTGGTGTGTTCCAGCCAGTCCCAGGGTCTATGTGATCACTTCTTATTGGGTTCTTTGGCCTTGTATTTTTTTTGTTCTTATATTCTCCTCTCTTTGTTCCCTCTTTCTCTTAGTCTTCAACCTACTCAGCGTTTTTCTTCCTGTAGTTCTCATCCTATTCTTCCCTCCCCCGCTCTGCCACCACATGTCTCACCCACTAACTTACTGGCAGCAGCTTGCTTTTTTTCTCCTGCACACCCCATTGTGCTGCTTTTCAAGCCTCACATCCTGCTTGGGGACCAGGGGGAGGTGGTGTGCTGCTTTTCACATCCACCTTTGGTGTGGGGAGGAAGAGGAAGTCTTCCAGTGTGGGCTATTCCCACAAGTCAGTATACCTAATTTGGGCCTAATCTACATTAAAGAGTTAGGTAAAAAAAAACCGCATTTTACATCATGATGAATAAACATCTACACTGCAGAGTTCCTCCTGAGGCTGTAACCACTCACTACACCAGAGCTACTCAACAAGTGGCCCGTGGGCTGTACGCGGCTCGTAACCCGTTTGTTTGCGGCCCACTGTGAGGTTTGGGTTTAAGCAGTGCTCGACACGTGGCCCATAGGTGGGAGCCAAAACAAAAAAGTAGTCAATATAATAGTCTTCTGTTGATACATGTTTTAGTAGTTAAATTCCTGGACTGTCATTGCTCATTAAAAGTGCTGTCATATGGGTGGAAATCGGATAAATATTGCATTGTATTAGTATCAGCAGAGCTGACTTAAATGGGGCCTGTGTGTTGTGTAGTTTTGCCTTAATCTTTGTATTTATGCCTGTCAGTGTGAAAGAATCTATTTGCATAAATATTTGCATTTATATGCAACCACACTTAAGTTACAACCCTCGGCATGTGATGTGAGTATTATTGTGGCCCCCAGGGCTTCCAAAGTTGAGTAGCCCTGCACTACATCAACCTAAACAATATCCCTCTCACAGAGGTGGAGTTAAGTGTCCACACAGACACTGTGCTTACATCACCTTTGGCAGCTGGAGCCCTCTCAACTTTGGCTGTCAATTTGAGGAAAAGAGGCTCTGGTTGTCAGTGCCCCACAAGACCCCACTAAAGTCAGTGTAAGTGCTTCTGGTGATCATATGCACCACCTACAGGAGTGCAGTATGGATACTAAGGACTGATTTAATTACTGTGGTGGCTATAGATTGACCTACTGTTAATTTTGTAGCATGTACTCGCCCTTTAACAGGCATAAGTACCTGACAGTAAAGCTGATTGTAAAAGTGACTTCTCACCTTTGCATAAAGAAAAGCCCCACAATATCCAACAAGGCTAAGTCACAGATTCTAAAGTCAGTAGATACCATTGTGATCATTCAGTCTGACCTTCTGTGTAATACAAGGCAAATGCTTTCTTGGAGATCATGTCCATAAACTTGTACTGTAATAGCCAGGGTTGTCCCTACGTGGGTGCAGGGCCCAGGACAAACTCCCCCTCTGCCTCAAGCTCCTTCCAGCCCCCATTCCCACCCTTTCTCTGTCCTCCTACCCCAAGCGATGTATGGGACCTGGTGCTGGAAATGTTTTGGGCCCGCCCCTGCACTGTCCAGCAACAGCGGGGAAACTGAGTGCCCTAGTCCCAGTGTGCTCCGCTCTGCTGGCTTTCAGCTGTGTTGCTCTGTTTCCCATCACCACCAGTGAGTGTGAAGGGTGGGGCGGTTCCACCTTTTCCCTCAGACAAGATGACTGGGAGCAAAGCAGTCAGGGGCTAGATAGCTCCGTTTCCTGCCACCACTGGTGAATGCAGGTCATTCACCATACCTGCTGTCAGCACAAGTCTCCCCAACTCCCATGGCCCCCCCCGAAGTGCAGGACCTGGGGTGGTTGCCCCAAACCATCCTATAGATCTGATTATAGCAAGTCAGTGCCAGTTGCCTCCAGTGCTAGGTATCCTGCATGAGAAGGAAAAGTGTGTACACTGTATACAGTCATAACTTTTAGAAATTCACTCTTGTGATTGCTTTCTCCTGTTGAAACTGCAGTTCCGAAGTTTAGTAATGTAGGATGTTTTATGAAAGGCAGAGCGCGAAAACAAGTGGATTTGCTCAACCAGAAATAACGGGAGATTTTAACTCAGCCATTCACTGCTTTCTTCCCTGTGACTGTTCCTAGCTTCCTCACCACATGTCAGCAGCAGCTGTGCTGCAACATTACTCCGTGACAGATGAAGCTCATCTCTTCCTCTAAAATGGTAGCACTTGTATAAGCCACACGTTTCTCAAGGTTAATATTTTTGGGGAGTCTGGAGTGTTTGTTTTGCATCGCTGCCTGCTTGGCATGCTGTCATGATGGTTAAGTGGCATGCATCCCTGTTTCCTCCCGGTTCCCTCATACTTCAGTTCACGTTTCATTGTGGCACATTGTTGTTTCCTTCCAACCCAGAGGGGCAAAATTCCTGTAGCGCTAGCTTGGATCTTAAACAGGGAGCATGCTGCTCAGCCAGCATCTGTTCACGACTAGAACTGTGGACGCAAGCTCCTCACTGATTACTGAACTGGATGCAAGTGTTTGGCCCTCTTACTGAAAACAGTAAACTGTATTTGACTTGTTTTTATTAATGTGCTAGAAGTAGTTAGGCGTTCAACAATTTTATGTAAACTTCCCATCATAAATGTCCTGTATCCGGATGCTGGTTCACATTATATGCTAGGTTGGTTACGTAGATGAGAAGGACAGTACCCAAAATATTTTAAGTGTGTAATTCCCTATCTTTAATTGTTCTGTGTGTCATGACAAAGCTCTCTAATGGAGACCCTTAATCATTTTCTAAAACCTGTTCAAGTTTTCATCCAAGTGTAAGGAAGGTATAATATGTAACTTGTTATCCTTTCATTTCTAACTAGGTAAGTACAATTTCAGGTTGATGCTGACATTAGCTTTAGCCTGTAGTCACCTTGTATATTTACAGTTGAGTTTTGAAATAGTGTATGTATATGAGCATTCTGTTGGGGCCCTATTTTTGAATGTTGAGTAGCTTTCAGGAATTAGGCCAAAGCGAAAAGGATATACTTCATAGCAGTTTCCAGAAGCTCCTCCCAATTCTAGCATGTCCAGTTTGTGCTTCTCTGTTGAGCAGATTGTATAGTTCTGTCAGCTGTTTGAGTGAGTGCTGTGCAGTAGTCAGTCCTCTCAATAATGCATGGAATTAATAGAGGTTGCTGTTTTGCACCAGAAATTACAGTGGGGAACAGATGATAAAATTAAACAACTTGGTCATAGTTCCATGCTGTGTAATGGAGGAGTACTGACACAAAAATAGAGTACCTGGAAAAAATTACAGTGCTATTAAAAGGTAAGTTACTCACAGAAGACTGTAGCAGCTTGTTAAAGGTATACTCTTGTGACAAATTATTTTATACTAAAATGTAAAAGTTCTACTAACATGGTAACAAAGCTCCATGACTTTTTAGATCAACATTTGAGTGTATTTGAAACAGAAATGAAGTGTAAAATGACAATAATATCATGATTACTAATGGAAATGTTAGCATTGCTGTAACTTTGTGGCTGCTTTGGTTTTTTAGCCTCTAAAATTTTTATACTTCTAAAAGTATCTAGCTTATAAAAACAGACTTGCAGCATTTTTGCAGTTAGGCAACCAGCCACGTTAAACAGGCATAGTGAAGACTGCTGTAAATAAGACCAGGTATTCTAAAAGTCTCACTCCCGTTATAGATTTGGCTAAGAAACAATGTGCTTGTGTCTGCATGCGCTAGCAGAACAATTTTAAAGGTAATGTTTAGAAAGCTACAGTTGCTCTAACTGTATTAAACATTTCTAGAACAGCTAGTATTGAGGAGTTGGAACTTACTTTAACTAAATGGGGTAAGGTAATGGAAGGTGTTAATGCATGTGAGTGTTGGGATTTTTTGTGTGCTAGGTACATTATGTGAAGTGAAGAAAAATCAAAACAAGCTATATACAACTGTTTCATGTAATGAAGTATTTTTAATGCTCATATCTCTGAAAATTTCAGTGTGGTAGACTGGAATTTAGCTTAGTATGTCCTATTAAACTGATGGTTTGTATTCACTAAACCACCATGCACCTCTTTGAGAGAGAATGTAGTGGTTAGCATTTATGAGTATTAGTCAAATTGGTTAGAGTTATAAAGGATCCTGGTTGACAATGAAGCCTAAATATAAGTTAGGAAATACTAAATTACAATTGCCTTTACAACCTTAATCTGTCCATATGTATGAAGATAATCTTTGAGTGATCACATGCTTGTTTTTTTCATTTAGTGAGCAGGATGGATGGTGCTCCCTGACTGGGTAAGCTATTCAGTATTTTTTTATCCTCATTCAGCGTGCAGTTTGAGGCCATATTTGCTGCACGCTATCTAAACCCTGCACTGATTGCACAATTAGCTATAGTCTCATGGCTTTTCTGTGACACTCATCAGCATAGGAAGTGGCTGCTTTGCAAACATTAATTAAATTATTTTCATAACACTCCCATGAGGTGGGCTAGTGATATTATTCTTAAAATAGTTTTTTTTAAAAAACAAAGAGTGAGTCCCAAATTGCAAATAGTATTTTTAATGTGTGCCAAATTTTACGTTATAGATTTTCTGATTTTTCTTTTTCGGTATTTCACATCAGAGAGAGACAATTAATGGCTACTCTTTAACAGTTTGATTTAAGTGATTTACTCAGTTTAGTCTCTAGCCTTGTTTTTTGAAACACTTGAACCTCTTTTGTGGAAAACTTCAGCCTAGATGGTCGAAGTTTTGCAAAGTGAAAACCAACTGAATGCAACATCTTTATAAGGGAAAGTTTAGTTAAACAATAGTTAAACTGCACTTATCTTAAACAATACTAGTCCTGCACTTATCTTAAAATTTTATTCAAATGGCAAATTTGATTTCCTACTACAGGAACATCCTCTTAGTCTCTGTGTATTTTGATATGAGTCTCTTGCTTTCATTCCTTTCCCACCTCCCTCCCTTTCTCCTTCCTTTCTTTCCCCTCAGTCGAGTGCTGCTCCATGTTAGGAATGTTAAATTTAGTTAAACCAACTAATCAACTAGTTGATGGAATTTCCATTGATTAGTCGATAAGCAGGGGAGCCGCAGCAGGGTTAGCTTCCTTTTAAATGTGTTGGTGCTCAGCAGAGAGGACCTGGTGCAAGCCAAGACAGCTTCCCTTCTGCTTTTTCAAAGAGAGATACAGCGTCCTGGCACTGGGTGCGAGTGAGGAATCTGCTAGTGCCCGGTCCTAGCTACTTCCCTGCCTTCAACAAAGATGGTGGGGGGGGGGACTGGCTTTTAAGCTGGCTCCCCCAGCATCAGCTTCTGCTCCCCCCTAGCTGCCTCTGATGTCGGCTGATAGAGACAGCAGGACGGAGGGGAGGAGACTAGTCGACTATCCAATAAGCTTACGTTTATTGGAAAATAGAGTAGTTGCTTACATCCCTACCATGTGTCTTGCATTCTTTTTGTTACCTTAGAGGAGACAGCTCTCTTCAGCTGTAGTCCAGGCAGATTAACGCTTGGGAAGCCATACAGTGTTTCACTTTGTTCCAGTGCTTAACCACCTGGACAGAAAATTTCTCCTACTGTCCAACCTAAACCTCCCTTGCTACAATTTAAGCTCATTGTTTCTTGTCCTACCCTCAGAAGGTAAGGGGAAGAATTTTTCTCCCTATTTCTTGTAACAAAGTATTTAAAAACTGTTACATCCCCCCTCTCTATCTCTTCCAGACTAAACAAACCCCAGTCTTTCAAATCTTTTTCCTTATGTCATGTTGTTTTTCAGATCTTTAGTTGGTTTTGTTACTCTTTTATGGACCTTCTCCAATTTGTGTTACATCTTCCCTAAACTGTGGCATCCAGAACTAGACTCACCATTGAGGCCTTATCAGCATGAAATGGGGTGGAAGAATTACTTCTTGCTTACAAGACTCCAGCTAATACATTCCAGAATGATGTTGGCTTTGTTTTGTAATAGTATTACACATGTTGACTCATGTTTAGCTTGTGATCCACTATAATCTCAGATCCATCTTTGTAGTAGTCCTTCCTAGGCAGCCATTCCCCATTTTGTATGTGTGCAATTGATCTTTCCCGTGTGGAGTGTTTTGCATTTGTCCTTATTGAATGTCATCCTCTTTACTTCAGATCATTTCTCCAGTTTGCCCAGATCATTTTGGATTTTAATCCTGTCCTTCAAAGCACTTGGAATCCTTCCCAACTTGATATCATCTGCAAACTTTATAAGTGTACTCTATATGCCATTATCTAAATCACTGATGCAGATATTAAATGGAACCAGACCCAGGGCTGATCCCTGAGGGACTTCACTCAATATGACTTTTCAGCTTGGTGGGAACTACTGATAACTACCCTCTGGAACTAGTTTTGCAGCCACCTTATATAGAAGCTCCATCTAGGCTGTATTTCCCTAATTTGTTTGAGATGGCCATGCAAGTCAATATCAAAAACCATATTGAAGTCAAGAGATACCACAACTATTGCTTCTCCCTATCCACAAAACTTGTTATTTTGTCAAAGCCATTTAGGTAAAGTGTTTAAGACTATAACTGTCCCCTGCTTTTGGCATTTTTTTTCCTTTGGCAGGGATAGTCAAAACAACTTTGTTTTTGTGGCCACTATTCATATGTCTTGGTCAAGGTCCAGACTGTAGACCCCAAAAAAAACCCCACACCCACAATTATAACTAATAAATAAAAAGATTTCAGGGTAAGTTCAAAAGCAACTGGGGTCTGTATTTGGCCCACAGTTTTCCTGTTGACTATTCCTGGCTTAGGCTGAGGCACCATCAGTGACTATAAAAAGTATAAACATAACTAATACCCTGCCTCAAAGGAGCTTCCTTAAACATGTGCTGTTAATATTCCAGAGTCCTTCCCACCCCAATCCATATTGATGTAGACATATAAGTTTGGTTTTCGATTTTACAATTAATTGACAGCCAGGCAATCAGATACCACAGAATATGTTCTGAAGAGAAAATCTGGGATACACATTAACATACTCAAATCCAACTTCAGCAAACAAGGACACTGCCCCAGAGAAGTAGCTCACATTGAACAGGCCATTCAAATACTCCAGGAGAACGTTTCAGTACAGAAATAAAACCCTCTAACCACAAACCCCAAATTTTCAGCTACTATTCCACACTGGAGTACTTCTATAGTATCAAATTACCACCACCCATACTCAGTTGAGACCCTGACCTGAAAGAAATCTTTCCTAAACACCTCTTCTAGTTTTCTCACAACCCCCCGACCTCTCCAGGCCGAGAAGCAGGCTTCCCACAGACCAGACACATCAATTCAAAGTGACATCAGACCCTGCTAGAACAACAGACCCTGCAAACATATTTTCACTTGTACAGTGAGCAACAATTCCCCCCCCCCATATGCGCTTTCCAAGATCCTTGGATCCTGCACATGTCTATCTCAATATGTAGTATACCTCATTAAATGCAATAACAACTGTGTGGTGAAACTAGACATTCAGGGTGTGTCTAGACTACAGGGTTTTGTCGACAAAGGTGGACTTTTGTCGACAAAACTATACCTGCGTCCACACTGCCTTTGAGTTATGTCGACAAAACTCAGCAGTTTTGTCGACGTATGTAAACCTCATTCTACAAGGAATAACGCCTTTTATCGACAGAGTTCTGTCGATAAAAGGCATTATTGCATCTATACTGTCCTTTGAGTCCACACTGTTATGTCGACAAAGCGGCTTGCTTTGTTGACTGAACTGGATGTAGTCTAGACGCTCTTTGTCAACCGTATCTGTCGACAAAACTTCTGTCAACAAAACTTCTGTAGTTTAGACAATACCCTAAGACACAAATACCATCTCACAAAGCAGGTCAAGTATAGAGCAACTATCTGACCTCATCCTCATGAACCTTATACTAGACTTTAAAAATATGAGCCTGGGAACTTAAATTCATAACTTTTGTGACAGTCAAATACTTTCCTCAGATCTGGAGAATAGTTCTGTGTAGCTGGAAATCTTCTATCTCTCACCAAGATAAACTGTTCCAATAAAGAATATTACTTCACCTACCTCATCTCTGTTTTATTTGTAGACATTTCTGTGGTGTTCTCTGCCATAGTTTGACCCCATTTGCTCAGTGTAAATGTGAGCAGTTGTGTACCTTTTTTATAACAAAATGTTTATAAGCTTTCTAGTTTTATGTGGAGACTTTCATTATAAAGCTTTACACATCCCTCTAGCTTTCTGAAAATCCATTTTAGATGCACAGAAAATTGGAGGGTCTCGGGTTGTAGGTGAAATTGAGGCAGGGACAGGGTTGGAGAGAGAATATGGAGTAACGTTTCTTCACTTTTTTGAGATTAAAGGGTGGAGGGAGGACTTTTCTGGGGTAAGGTTTTTAGAAGTTATAATGAACATGTTACTGATGAATTGCTGAGACTTGACAGTTATCATGGACTACTGTGCTTCACCCTGGTCCCCCCCTCCCTGCCTCTGAAATACTGAAAAGTTTCTCTTTACACATGCAATACAAAATTTCTGGTATGCTTAGAGTTATGGGACTGAAATATTCCAGCATGCAAAGTTTACTTCCCCTGTAAGTAAAAAGTAGTAAGAATAATTTAATAGTGACAATGGAACAATTTATTAAGGATCATGATGGATTTGGTATCATGAGCAATTTTTAAACCAAGCTCTAGGTATCGTTTCAGGTAAGCTTTGTGTTACTCAGGAGATCAGAATAGACTATCACAATGGTCCCTGTTGACGTTGGAATCTATAAAACTGGGAAAAATCAATTTTGATGAGTAAAAACAGGTCCAGAAATTTATGGGCATTTAGGGTTGCCAGATGGCTTAACCAAAAAATACCAAACACCCCCCCTCCCCTCCAGCCGAAAAAAAGGTGGGGGGGAGACCAAAGTTATTACGCAGCAAAAAACAAACAAAAAATCCCAAGAGTTAAGCTTTTTTTTTTAAAAAAAAAAAAATGCATGGCCCCTTTAAGAAGAGCCTTTGAGGCTTTTTGGCCCTAACAGGCTGCCATGGGCCATCCCCCATCTTATCTTCCTGCTCTGGACCATCCTGCTCTCCTGCAGAACCAAGTAAGCACCCAGGAGTTTCGCCTCCTCGCTGGGGGAAAAAAATCAGAAAATACTGGACATTTTAGGTGTCTGGTATTTTCTGAACCTTTTACCGGACAGGAGGCAAAAATACTGCACTCTCCGGGTCAGTACCAGACACCTGGCAACCCTATGGGAGTTTATATAATGTTGACAATTCTGGGTATTGTGTTAGGTGGGCTGTTTGGAGAGGGTACTGGGAAAAGTTGCATGCTGGTGCAGGGAAGTCTTACATCAGGGCTACTCAACATGAGGGCCGCATGCAGCCTGTCTGGACCGCGGTGTGGTTTGTGTTTACGCGGGGCTCAACACGTGGCCTTCGGATGGGAGCTAAAACAAAAAAGGAGTCAATATAATGGTCTTCTGTTGATATGTGTTTTAGTAGTTAAATTCCTGGACTGTCTTTTTTTATTAAAAGTGCTGTCATGGGTGGAAATCGGATAAATATTGCATTTTATTAATATCAGCAGAACTGACTTAAATGGGGCCTGTGTGTTGTGTAGTCTTGCCTCAATCTTTATATTCATACCCATCAGTGTGAAAGTAGCTATTTGCATATATTTGCACATATATTTGCATGTATATGCAACCACACTTAAGTTGCGGCCCTCGGCATGTGTTATGAATATAACTGTGGCCCTCGGGGCTTCCAAAGGTGACTAGCCCTGATCTAGTCTGACAACCTGCACATTGTAGACCACAGAACCTCACCCACCCACTCCTGGGATTGACCTAGAACCTCTGGCTGAATTACTAAAGTCCTCAAATCATGATTTAAAGCAGGGTTGGAGAACCTCACCCCTGGGAGCTGGATGTGGCCCCGAGGCTCATGAGCCGAGCCCCCCCCCCCGCATTGGGGAGCCTGCGTGGGTGCTCCAGCCCTCTCCCACCCTGCTGCTGCACCATGGGGCTTAATCTTTGTATTCATGCCCGTCAGTTTAAAATAAACTGTTTGCATATATATTTGCGTGTATATGCAACCACGCTTAGGTTGCAGCCTTTGGCACGTGCTGTGAGTATCATTGTGGCTCCCAGTGCTTCCAAAGTTGAGTATAGCCCTGTCTTAGATGAAAAGCGCTGTTTTCAAGGCCTTGACTTGTGGCATCATCCAATAGTAAGAGCCTACAGGAACCTGTAATCTTCATCTCTGGTGGCTGCAATTCCACATACTCCTTCCAGTAGTGTCATTGAAAAGTAGCAGACTTGTTCTTTCCCCTTAAATGTCATTCAACAGGCTTTTACCTCCACTACTTCCACTTGGGAATGAAGTGCCCTGATGCATTCTTCTCCACACTTAGCTCACTAAGTGAAACTCTCTTTTTCCTTTGTTGTTGGGGAGTAGTTGAGAGTCCCCAGAAAAGTTAATTATCCATAAATCAAAATCCCTTGCTATTTGTTTGGTACAATGATTGACCGGAATCTTGATCAGTGATGTAAAAGGATTATCCTGCAGCCAAATTCCATGGCCCTTTACTGCCTATGCTTTTAAACTGTCTGAATATTTAGTGTCATAAGCTCATAAATGGCTTGAAATCCTTGATGTAATGTCGTAAGGCAGCATAAGTGCTAATAACATCCATTGAGAAGTTTGCATTTATGAAGGAACTTCAATTCTAAGCCCCCCCCTCGGCATGCATGAAATGGGATGCACTTCAGTGTACATACATGTGAAGCTCATCTACATGTAAACAGTGACTGAAGTGGTGCTGTAGCCACGCCAGTTTAAGGATTTTAGAGACCAGGTGGGTGAGGTAATAGCTTCTATTAGGCCAGCTTTTGTTGGAGAGAGAAATGAGCTTATAGAGAGTTCTTCTTTGGCCCAGAGACTGACTCAGTGCAGTTAAGTTTCATGGTATGGGGAGGAGCTATGATGAACTCAGCTCACGTAGCTTTGTGCCCAAATTGGGAGGGGAATAGAAAACAAGAATAGAAATGTCATCCTGCAAGGTAAAACCTGTTTTGCAATTGTAACTAAATATCCACCAACAAGTGAATAATGTAATGTTCTGAAATATTTCATGTGGCTGTTACCCGGGGTTCTTTCAGCCCAATTCTCTTGGTAATTTTTACTCTCTGCGAGGTGGTGTCAGGAAATAATTCAGGGGACACGTGGTTGTCCGACTGATGGATGGATGGAACAAACAGGACAACACGAGTGCTTTCACTTAAAGCTAAACTTTACTTAGTCTCAAGCACTTTCGTCCGCAACAAGTTAGTAAAACACCCGTACCCTCGATAATTACTGAAATTGAGTGTGGCTCTCGAGTGACACAGAGCAGGCTTCTGATGGTCAGTCTTCCGTCTGCCAGTGCGGAGGAAGATGTGTCCAGATGTGAAGAGTCCTCAAGGAGTCCTCGAAGCGATCCTCCAAGTGTTCCCAAAATTGTCCCCCTAACTCAAACTTTCCTTCCCTATTTATCCATTAGCATTACAATAACATGTCACTCAAACTTGTTAGGCAAGCACTTTTTTAAAGGTTAGGCAAGAGGTTTTCTTCTGATCATCACTTTCACCAGATGCGGTTTTTTTCTTTTTCAGTGACTTCATACTCGGGTGCCCTGATAGATGTGTCGTAGGGCATTTAGACAAACTTCCTGTTTTTCTTAATGTATAGCTCAGCAATTTCACTAGAGATTTGGGCCTCAGGAAGTACGCGGGGTCAAGCTGCCCTCTTGGTGGCACCCAAACTTCCCTTCTTCCCCCTCCCTGATTTGGTCATGCTGTCTAGGCCTATTTTGGACATGTTAGCTTGGTTGCTAAAGTTCAAGCAGTAAGCAATAGTGGTTCAGGCACATTACTGGATTTGCCGAAATCTCCCCGTACAGTTAAGGCACTTATACTCAGAAACTTCTGTTTACTTGGTAGGATAGCTGTGGCCCTTTTTCCTATCTTGATTGTGGTCTGCTATATTTCTGTCTTTCTATCCTGGAAGTGTTGTGAGCTTTATTCCAAAATACTTAGCCTAGTAAGCCTGCAAAAATTTCAGTTAAAAAATTCTCCAGTTATAAAAAGCTTCCGTATGATCCTGTTGATGCAATTTTTTGTAGTTCTATTTGATTTAATCATGAGATATGAATTGTATTTAATAGCTGAAGCATTTTGCTCTAATCCAAAATTGTAAGCATCCTTAGAAATAAAAACTTCTTAATAGCTATTGAGAGGTACTTTTTCCAACTAATTTTCTGTGTGATCAGTTCCCCAGAGCATTGATTAATTTAGACAAACTGTCTGTTATGCCCATTTGTCCAGTGTTAGAAATATAACTTTTGAAAAAGTGTGGTGTGAGCCAGTGATGTTTAATAAACAAGTATAGAAGGATTAACTAGAAATTTTCTTTTGCAGGTTCATGTTGGGGAAAGGTCTAAAACGCAAGCTGAGTGACTATGAGGAGAACATGGCTGATCTCTCGAGTGCTTTTGATTCCAGTCGAAATCTGCCGTATCCACTTAAGAGGCAGTTAGTGCTGAATATGTGCCTCACCAAGTTACAAACTTACAAAATGCTGGTGGAACCAAACTTACACCGATCTGTGCTCATAGCTAACACAGTAAGGCAGATTCAGGAAGAGATGAGACAAGAGAGTAGTCAGCAGCCAATTAATGTGTGCAATGGCATTGCCTCCCATTCTCTCAGCTACCCAGGAATTGATTCACCTGGAATTTCTTTACATTTGCCTTCAGGTAGTAACCAGCCAGAGTCTAACTGTTGCAGCTCGTGGTCTGGAGAAGGCCCAATTGAAAATAGCCTGCTGATGGTTTCAGATGATGACATGTCATCTGCCATTTCATCTATTCTGAAGGATTTGGACTTCATGGAAGATATAAGCCCACCTTCTTGTTTGGCTCCTGCTGGAGATGAGCCAAAGCTGCCTGAAAATGCATGTCTAAAACCAGAAGAAGTGCGACAAGATTTGAAAGGAGCTGAATGTGTATTTGGTTCCTTTGAAATTTCAAATTCAACTAGTTACTTAAAAGATTTGGCTATAGATGACATCTTTGAAGATATTGACACTTCGATGTATGATTCAGACTTCTGCTCTGCCCCACTAATGGCATCTAGAACACCACCTACTGCTACAGAAGAAACATTGAAAACCTTCCCATCTTGCAATTCTTCCTCAACAACCAATATTCAGATATGTAGACCAGATCTGAGTGAGTTGGACCATATCATGGAAATTCTTGTTGGATCTTGATATTTATTTTTAACCAAAGAGACTGTACTGCCACTTAATATTGGTTTGGGAATATAGCCACTGAGAGAGCTGCGAGGAATTTCTTTTTAAAGAAAACACAATTGCCCATGAGTAATTCTTACAATGTCTCTGTTATAAATCAAAAAAGCGGCAGTTTTTAAAATTAAATTATTTATTTATCAAATCGTGCAATCATCTTTTTCCTTCCAGGGGTGCATGGGGGGTGTGTGTGTGTGTGTGTGTGTGTGTGTGTGTGTGTGGACCTAAAAATGTATGCACGTATCCTTCCCCTCCACCCTTCATCACACGTGAATAAATGTTTATGTGCAATTTTTAATTTGTCAGAAGCTTTTACATACAAAGTGAATTTCATATGGGAATCACTTATGAAGCCTAAATTTTATTTTTAATATTTAAATACATGACAAGTTGGTATACATTGGAGTTGCATATTTGGATTGTGCAAATCCATCCGCATTACTAGAAAAATGTGTATATATATTTTAAAAATAAAACAAATTTCACTTCCCTTTGGTTGGAAAAACAGCCTCAAGACACTTGGTGAAGTATCTTGCATTTTCTAAAGCATTCAAAACTATTTATTTTTATAAATTTTATAATCTTTCTACATTTTACTACGTTACTTCATCGTAGTTGAACTATAATGTATTTCTAGCTGGATGTGGCTAGCACTACCTCTATAAGCTGAAATGCTTTAACTCTTTTCAGTGCTTTGTCTCTCACTGCAGGGTTTTTTCCTTTTTGTTTCATCCTTGGTATTTTTCTGGTGTGTTTGGGGGATGGGACGGAACACGCTTTTAATTAATTAGAATCTTTGTTTTACAGTGACCTAGCTGATTTGTGAAATTAAGGGTATTAAATGTTTAAAATTTCTACAAGTATTTGCAAATGTAATTTATATGTATATTGTCCAATTTAACATTTTCTGTCAGTATTATGTGCTTAGATTTTAAATAATCTTGGCATTCTTTAAATTAGCATTTACTGTACAGATAGCTTTTCTATTTAGAGAATGCTGTATGTCTTCAGTTCCTTTCACTACAAAGCTTTTTTTATGTGCACTATTACTTACACATTTGCACAGATGACATTGTAGAAAGAAACTTTCTTTAAATTTAAACGTGTGAAGTAGCATCTTGGGAGTGGTACTTGAAAAGCCAGTGTGTATCCTCTTCAGAAGTGAGTTGAGCATTTCTCAGAGTACCATCGCTTACTGTTTTGAATACTCCTGAAATGTTATTTTAAATGTGGTGGGTCATTGCTGATGACGAAGCACTGTCTTGTGAGAGCTGGGGAAGTGGGAAGTGGTCAGCTCATTCACATGCAGCTGCAGGATGGGGGGCCTCAGTGTATTGAAACAATTTCAGATATGGTACAGAAGGGTTTAGCTGTTTTTTCTTTAATCTATTGAAGATGAGGCTTGTCGTGAGAACTGTTTTTCCATGTGATAATAGGAAATAATTTTTCAATTTAGGCTGAAGTCTTTATTAACTTCTGGAGTGGCTTTCTAAATTGAGACACTAGTTTTCCATTGAAACTGTAAAATTGTTTCAATACATCTATTAAAGCTGTAGTACATTTAGGATAAAGTTTGTGGCCAGCTTTAAAACCTTCTGTAGTTCATGGCAGGGTTGCCATGTCATTCTTTCAGCTAGTAGCAGAAACTTAGCAGCAATAATGTCCCTTTTAGATAAATGTAACTTGCTCAGTTTTTTAATATAAACTCACTCGTGTTCACGTCAGTGTCTTTTACTCAGATCACTGCTCAGATCCCTCCAACACCCCTCAGTGTTTTTTTAAAGTGTTTTGCTTTTGTTACATTTGTCCTTCAATTTTTTTGTGAGTTCAGTATCTAAGAAGCTGAAGAGCAAGAAAACATGCCCTAAGTGTTGTACCTCAAACAAGGGATGAAGTCCTGGTCTTGTAGAAATCAGTAGCAGTTTTACTATTAACTTCAGCTGGGCCAGGATTTCACCCAGGATTTTAATCTTAAATATACTGCAGCATCAGTTCTCCTGTGCTAAAATACTCTATTTCAGAGGTCCTCCGTTGATAGTCTGTTGTCCCCAAAACCCACTATAGGTCACGTTCTCTCAGCTACCCAAATTGTTTGGCAACTGAAGGGTATAAATATATGTGCTCACTGTTAATGACTCTAATAATTAAATCTAGAACTTCTGATGGTATAAAATGTTCTAAATTATTGGATACAGGATTAGTTTGAAAATTGTATAGTTACTGAGAGAGTACCGCTTCAGAATGTACACAGACTGCATTGTGTATAGACTACTCTGGCTTTTCCTCAGTCTCCCTTTTTGTATGTAAAGATATGCCTGAATAAATCCTTGAAATATTACTGTCCTTCCGCACTGTGATAAAGCAGAATTGTGATTAAAAATATCTTTAATTTTGGTCACGGGAATAAAAAATACTTTTATCTAATTTCTTGTATGCATTTGGAAATGTGGAATTTGACAAAGCAGTAAATATCACCCTTTTGTTTGTCATTAACATGATTGCTACATTGTGTGAATTTAATATCCATATGTTCATGTTTACTACCCAGCTCTGCAGAAACATAAGACATCAGGGGAATTAACTTTATATGCAACTGCTGTAAACTATTTTTTATATATTTTGGTAACTGATATAAATGATTGAATACAGTGAGGCTACGTCTACACTGGCATGAATTTCCGGAAATGCTTAAAACGGAATAGTTTTCCGTTATAAGTATTTCCGGAAAAAGAGCATCTACACTGCAGGCTGCTTTTCCGAAAAAGCCCTTTTTCCGGAAAAGTGTCTGTGGCCAATGTAGACGTGCTTTTCCGGAAAAAAGCCCCGATCGTCATTTACGCGATCGGGGCTTTTTTCCGGAAAAGACTACTGTGCTCTCTACACTGGCCCTTTTCCGGAACAGTTTTCCAGAAAAAGGACTTTTGCCCGAGCGGGAGCAGCATAGTTTTTCCGGAAAAGCAGCCGATTTCTTACAGTAAATCGTCACTGCTTTTCCGGAAATTCAAGGGGCCAGTGTAGACAGCTCGCAGCTTATTCCAGAAAAGCGGCTGCTTTTCCGGAATAAGTGGCCCAGGTTAGACACAGCCTGAATGACACGTCTCTTTGGACATAGAGGTCTTGCCACTAAGCTGTAATTATTAACTGGCTGCTTAATAGCCCACTGCTGAATGACACGTCTCTTTGGACATAGAGGTCTTGCCACTAAGCTGTAATTATTAACTGGCTGCTTAATAGCCCACTGCCAGAACCATAAACTGTAGGTAATGCAGCTTGGATGATATACTTTTACACACAGTTTTTAATTTTAATTATCCACAAATTAGTTTTAATTCAGTATTAAAAAAAATCTGAAACAAGCTAGGGACTTCTATTTAGTTTAGGACAAATGCAATACATTTTCAATTTAGCCTTAATTTCTTGGAGTTTCCAGTATGAGTGTAATACATGTATTTACCTTGCTAATATTTTCTTCACTGAAGTAATGAAGATGCAAAATAAATATTTCTCTCTGCTTGCCTTTTGGGAACTATAGATAATATGCAAGTTTACTTACCTCTTCACACCCAGACCCCATCTCTCTAAGCCACATTTCTATAGAACACTGGTTGTTAGGCATGGCAACTTCATAAGACAATGTGCTGGGAAGAGTTGTCTCTGCTTTTGATAGTCAAACATCATTTTCTTACAACTTATTAAACATAGTTTACCCCATCTACACAAATGTACAGCAGCTTTCAACTTAGTTTGCAGGACACAAGTTCAGATATACTGTCACCAAGGCTAAGTTTAGACTACATCACTCTGCCGACAGAGGGATATAAATGAGGCACTTTGAAAGTGAAAATGAAGCAGGGATTTTAATATCCCATGCTTCATTTGCATAATTGTATCATGGCATTCTTTTGAACAAGCACCATTTCGAAAGTAAAAACGCAATCTAGATGCGGTTCTTTTGAAAATGGCAGGCTTTTTTTGAAAGATCCAGTACTCACGTACAGGATCTTTTGAAAAAGCCTGCCATTTTCAAAAGAACCGCATCTAGACTGCAGTTTTACTTTTGACATGGTGCTTGTTCAAAAGAGTGCCATGATACAATTATGCAAATAAAGTGCAGGATATTTAAATCCCTGCTTCAGTGGCACGGCGAAGTGCCCCATTTACATCACTCTGTCGGAAGAGGGATGTAGTCTAGACACAGCCCAAGAAAACAGTACAATTGAGAGCTGAGGCTCCCATCTGTGTATGAAGCCTATTATTGCTCTGAATTCACCAGTGGTGCAAGACAGCTGTCATCCAGTGGGAGAATAGAGCCCATTGGTGGGGAATATATCCTTGAATGAACTTACTAGTTTAAAAATAACATCTTCAAAGAAACATCTTACCTGTGATTTGGAGATGTTGGGAGTACCTTAGAAATGTCAATTATGTAAGTTGTCTTGTTGATACAGAACATTTTAATATCAGGATAAAAAACGTATGGAATTTTTCACAGGAGGCCCAGACATTTAATCTTGTGTTTGTAGCACAAAAGAAATAGCTGCCTTTACACATGCTGTTTAGTTTAGTAAACAGATTTCTAAAACTCCCCTATGCTTAAAAAGTGCAGTTGGACTTTGAGAAATGACTAAATTAAATGACACTGTGAGATTAAACATTGGTGTCCATGTTCTCACCCAAAATAAATGCACTAATTACAGGTAAAAATGTCTTAACTGCCACAGTCACACACATATCCTGGACTTGAAGAGCCTGGTCCCTCACTGAAGTTAATGGATAGCTTACACTGATTTCAGGGGGGAGTAGATTAGCCATGGGCAGCCGAGATTAGTGAGTGGGCCACATGAGTGGCCTTCCATCGTCTCAGCAGGCTGTATGATTGAAATCCAGTGACAGGCAACATGCAGCCCACAAGGGTTTCACCTATGGTCTGTGCACCCTATCTCTTCTCTCCCCCTCTGCCCCCCCCCTTCCCTAATGCCTCTCATGTGCTAGGACCCTGGAGCTCTGAACTTACTCCTACTCCTACCTCCCAGCACTTTCAGAGGACCATGAATCTGCTGATTTGTGGTCCGTCCCTGCTCCTCCTTCCCAGAGTTTGAACAGCTGATGCATAGAGTGCAAGCTCTGAAAGGGATGGAGAGGAGTGAGGTTGGAGCATAAATCAGTGAATTCCTAGTGCTCTGAAACTGCTTTGGGAGGAGTAGAAAGTGTGGGGCCCCAGTGCATGAGTGGTGCACTGGTCACGGATAGAATCTCAATGTGCTGCATGCGGGTCGCAGGTTGCCCACCATTGGGTTGGATCAAGCTGAGTTCTTATGAATTACCAACAATGAATTCTGCAGTGCTGGCCAAATTGGACCCTCTGTGATTAGTACACAGGGATAGGATATCAGGGGTTAGTAAAAAACTTGTTGAATCCAGCTCACTATCAGTTGTGTGGGCTCTAGTAACTGATGCAGTGAAAGTCCAGGGAGCATGTAGTGTTCACTCTGCGCTTAAAAAGAGCAGCTCAGTTACCGCAGTAATCTTACAAAAACTTGGGAAAATAGTCAAATGCCATTTGGGGTTTTTTTAGATGACAACATATGTAAGCAAAGATTGTAGTGGTACATTACATCACTTGTATGTGGCTTTTTGCGTTCACTGAGATTTTGCAGATCCGGATGTGTAAAGCTGAGCTTTAATTTTATGTTGGTTTTGCTTTCAGGGACAATAATATTTTCATTGCAGTGACTTGATTACAGTTTTAGAAGTATGTATTAGGGAGGTGAAAGATCAGCTGGTAAGCATCATCCTTAACTAATGTTCACTGGTTCTGTTTAACTGTTAACAAGGTGGGAGGCTCCTGCAGTGCCACGCGGGGCGGGGCTTACCGCAGATAGAGGCTGTTCCGGTTCCAGAGCGGCCCTGGGACTTGTTTGGGCCTTCAGTAAACAGGGCTGGGCTGTCAGGGACTCTTCTGGCTGGGCTAGTGCAGCCCCTGCCTGAGGTAGGGAGCATTCCAGCCCACCTGCACCCCCTTTAATCTGTTTACTGGTTAAACAGGATGTTTAACTGATTAACCAACCAAATGGAATTTTACTCCCTAGGACTTAGGTGGGGAATAACTATTTGTTTAATAATGGGTTTTTCAAATTAGGAGACAATGATGTGTAACAATCTTAATAGTTTGAAGGTGAAGCTTGACACATTCAATGTGGAAATCTGATGTAAATTTTAATAGTGAATGTAATGAGTGACTATTTGCAAAGGGTCACAGTGGGTGAATTCTCCATTTTAAAATCAAGATTGGATGGTTTTTCTAAAAGATCTGCTCTAGGATTTTGGGGAGGGGACAGCAAATTCTATGGCTTGTGTTATACAAGAGGCCAAATTAGATGATTCCAGTGGTCTCATCTGGCAATGTCTTACTATACTTTTAAAAAGTTTTTCCTGGGGGATGACAGAATGACCTCATGCATCACTCTGTGTCCCGCAGCCCCTCCCTCCATCCTCAGTCACATGGCCCTCCCCCCTTCCCCATGCTTTGTGGGAGTGTAAGCCATGCGGTCTCCCCCGTGCTCCAATCTGCCCTGGCAAGTGGGGCTGTGAGGGTGGAGGGGCGCTGTCCATCCTGTGGCATCTTGGGCTGCTTTAGAGTGGGCAGTGGTGGGGCTGGGCTGGGGCAGGTGGCCAGGAAGCTGGGCAGCCTGACTCTGCATGTGGCATCCACTTTGCAGCTTCCCTCTGCTAGGGTTGCCAGGTGGTTTCAACAAAATTACCGGACACACTTGACATTACATCACACTCTACATTACATCTTTAGAAAATACTGGACATTTCTATTTTCTCATTTCTATTTTTTCAATTTGTTTCCCAAACAGAAAGCTCAAATACTGGACTGTCTGGTTCAAAACCGGACACCTGGCAAACCTACGTCTGCCTGCTCGGTCCTGGGCCCCTCGGGTCACAGCCCGGAGCCACTTGAGAACAGAGGGAGGCGAGGCCTCTGCGTCCTTCTCAGTGAGGCAGGGCAGCACTGCAGGGTTGGGCCCTGGGCAGAGACACACCGCAGCCTGGAAGAGCTGGAAGCCAGCAGTGATACCTGTGTATCCCCCTTGCCTCGCGTGCCCTCAACTGTGAGTCGCAGGTCGTGAAGGAGGGATGGGTTGGCCCTCTGCCTCCTCCTGTGAATGAGAATCCTTGCCCAGTTCCACAATGCACAAGGCTTGCCAGACTTGCTCGCATCACCTGAATGGAAACGTCACTGCCAGACACAGTGGGAGGTAATGGCCCCCATGACCTCCTACCGGGTCCACGCCACATGGGCTGGGAATTAACCCCTCTCTGCTGCATCCCAGCCTTGTGCCCTTCCCCCTCCCCCAGGCTGCCTCCACGCCACATGGGCCGGAGGTTAACTCCCTCCCCCACTCACTGCCCCATCCCCAAATGGATTTTGCGTGGCTGGAGTTAGGAGGCTAATTCCACGCACGCACCCTGAGGTGTCACAAAGGGGAGGCCCAGTAGCGTTTGGAGCAACTGCCAACCCGCTGGTGCCCATTTCTTTGCTGGTTTGGTTGCCTGTTCGTGGGAGGGGGCAAGGTGTGTGTAGGTAGGGAGGAAGGGGGATAGGGTGTATGAGGATGGGCAATGCAGTAAGGGGTTGGTGGGGGAAGAGGGA